GAGTTTCCTAATTGCTCCCCGTGGGGCATAAGGAAGGAGAGAGCCTGGCACTGCCAGAGGGTGCCAACTGCTATTTCAGCCTTCCTGTTTAGGATGCAGCCGGATAGATATTGTTTATGGCTCATAAAACCTGACTACTGTGAGTATTCCAGAATCCCAGCAGAATGGGATTCCAACTTTCATGGAGCTGTAAATTAAGGGGCGGGAAGTGTGATAAAACTCCTTAGAGAACGCTGAAAAAAAAAATTTTTTTTTTCGCGCTGCAATGGTTAAATGAAATTTTATAAGCACATTCAGCGTGGAGCTGTTTTGCATTACATGAGTTGAATACCTTAGAGACGCCACATCTGCAGGCACTTTATTAAATCCTTAGTCAGCACTTTCCAACCTGATGAGATTACTTCTTCATTTGACTGGAGAAAAGGAAAGCTGAGCTCGGGTCCTGGACTGCAGGTTTCTTTTGATGTTTCACCTTGAACACTGAGAGAGGACAATTACCCTCCCCCGCCATTTCGCCCCCCCCCCTCCAGCACATCCCAAACTGTAGAAATTGTGAGTGTAGCAGGGTAATTTTACTTAACTAGCGCCTCTGTGGGAGTTGTGGATTTACGGACCTCCAAAACAACTAGAGCTGAAAGTCCCTGAGGAAAAAATAGATCAAAGCTCTGTGTTTACTTCCTTAATGTAAATGTATCAAGATAACATCATCCTATATTGTATTGTAATATTGGAACTCGCTGCAGATAAGGGACAGAGAGATTCCTTTGTAGTCCATCTGGATACAGTAGGTTAGATTAAGGGCATATAAAGTATGAAGGCAGAAACCATATAAAATATAAGCTTGCATCAGTACATATCTGAAGACCATTTTTTGACTCTCCATCAGTGAACTTTGTTTAGTGTGGCACCATTTTCCTGGTGATTTTTTGCTACCCAACCCCAACAATTTAACAACCTCAGACTGTTTTTTATATTTTGCTTGTACGACCCAAGAAGAAAATGCGCAGAGTCATTCTTCAAGTGATATTTTGAAACTGGCACTGCTTGCATAATAGATTTGCTAACAAAATATCACAAGAAGAGAAAAGCAGGCTTTTCCACACACTATCTTGTCCATTTGATGTTAGTAGTAGTTCATGGAAGTCTCTAAAAATCAAGCGGCTTATACATGTGCAGCTATAACATTCCCCATAAAGGAATTAGGAATGTCTCAGTTACAAACAGATCATGAGAAAATAATTCAGTGAAATGGATACGTTTTTTGATTATGATTATAACTGTTTATCTGCTATCTCTGCAAAGGAATGATTTAATCAAAGAGACCTCATTTCCGCCCCCACCCCCCCCCCCCCCCCCTGCCCAAAAAGAACTTCAAAAACCAAAAAAAAATAACGAAAAACAAATTCCCTGTATGGCTCCCCTAAAGGATTGACTTCCCATTTGGGGAAAGCCTTGGTCAAGTAGCTGGGTTCATTGTCATGAAGATTAGTGTGATGTTGAAATAAGTACTAATGGTCAAATTACAGGAGTGAAAAAGTTTAAGAATAGGTTTTGGTTTGGGCCTGAAAGGGTTAATTAAGTTTTTTTCACGGGTTATTAAAGACCCCCAACCCATGTCTTCAGGAGTCATATTGACACCACACCACAGGGCAACTCGCTTCTCTATTGACATGTTGCTGGTCAGAGCACAATAGCCTTCTGTGTCTGAAAATCATTGCTAAAATCATCTCAAGGAAAAAAAAAAAGTTTGAAAGCTCTAACGTTAGACAAAAGCCCAAGAGCTGCAGTGCGCAGCTCAAAAACCCGGAGTCAGCAACTTCTATTGATTAAAAACTAACCTTTAAAGTAACTCTGAGAGTGTGTGGTTAGCATTTAAATTTAAACATGTCATGAGTTGATTTGTGTTACTGAATACCAACTCAGAAGGAGTAACATTCACATCACATTTTTTTTTTCTAATTCCCTTAAGCAGCTAAAGTATTTCATGAAATGTCAATAGGGCAAAAAGAAAAAGTGGGGGGGGGGCAATGCTAGGCCTTGTAGTTTTCTTTCCCATGCAAATATTCACACACACACACACCCCCACCAAAGAAAAGTATGGAGAGTGAAACACAATAATTAGTCCTTTGTCTAACTTTCCCAAGTGCCAGAGAAAGACAGATTAATTAAATATACAACAGTGTTGGTTTTTGGAGTGGGGGTCTTGCTTGCTGTGTAGGTCATAAATTAGGCAGAATAAATACTTCAATGTGTTTGCAGTGGGCCTGCTACGTCAGAGCCACTGGAAGGTTGGTGGGAGGAGAACGGAGGGTTTCTTGCTAATGATAGTCACGTCTGGGTCTGTCTGGTTGCTCTTAGCAACCAGACATGATGTAACACCAGGATGAACTTGAACTTGGGGGACTTGAAAAGAGAACAATAGACCAGAGCAATCAATAAAGCCTATTTCAGTGAAGGATTACAGAGCTGCTCTGGGGTAACCTTGTCGGCAAGGCACACACTGAATAGTAAGATGTGTGAAGAAACTTTTTTTTTTTTTTTTTTTTTTTTTTTTTTTTTTTTTTTTGCTTTGCTTTTTAAGAGAAGTGCAGAGGCATTGCAGATTTTTGTAGCACTCTGAGGTTGTGTCCAGAAACCGTGGTATGGAAAACTGCTCCCCCTGCTGACTCCCTGGGTCCCCGATGTTTGCTTCAAGAGCTACTATGCAGTGTCAGATTGAAGAAGGCTGGGATTTCACAACTGACTTAGAAAGTGTGAGAACAGAAAATCTGTAAGCGTGATTTGACGCACCCAAACTTTGAGACTGTTTTGTTGACGAGAGAATGCAGCTGCAGCGTGAGTCCATCAGCGTGAGTAGGAGAGGCCTACTAAAAATACGGTTTGGGGGCTCGCCTGCCCTCTCTTCTCTTCCCCCCTCTTCTTCCTTTTGTCCAGTTGGATTTAGGCCGTGTATTTGCCAGGATGATTTCCTTTCGGGACACAAGAGGCTATATTGTGTTCCCTCAAAGCATGTGGTCAAAGAAGACATCGAAAAGTACCCAGGATGAGTCGTTTTACGGTTTAGGCTTAGGTGTTTCAAGTCCTCTGGAAATCAAAGGTAGCTTGTGTGACCAGGAAATCTCATACCCACCTCCATGTAGCTATCACTTTGCCATTTATCCCTGGTATCAGAGTCCTTAATTCACCTAATTGAATCTCCTGGGCACCGATGAACCTTCATTGGACTGAATCAACTCAGTTGTACCCCCTTTCTGAGAGTGCCAACTCAGTGATTTTCACAGGCATTCACTGTTGCTGGAAGTTGATGATTTTGCTGTGAATGATGATGAATATGGTGAACTTGGCAGGGTATCACCAGAGAAAAGTTGGCGAAAGCCACGTGCTTCTCTATTTCACTTGAGAAACTGACTCTAATATTAGACCATAACTGGTCACTTTGTGTAGGCAGCAGAGAAAGAAACTCCAGCATATAAAGTGATATATCACCGGACTGTTGTCCAAAGCTCATCACCTGAGGATTTTTGGAAAGGTAACTGGTAACAGGGCCCAGCAGGCATATGGAAGTCTCTAAATAAATGCTAAATGAGCAAAAGCATGAACACAGGCTATGCAGTGGCCTCGTTTTTGTCATTTGGACCTCATGGCAGGTAATAGGGTGCGGTATTGATATCACTTGATTGTTATCTGTCATTTTTGAAAATATTATTTTAGAAATAGTGAGCTGAAAGCATTTTGTGTCATAAAATCTACCTCCTGCACATATAAGGAGACGGGGTATAAAAGAGGTGCTGTGACTTGCCTAAATACGCAGGACTCTTGGTACGCCACTTTTTCTAATTCACCTCCACTTATTTTTGTATCACTATTGACCATCTGTACCTGTTAAAAGAATGTCACAATACCATCTTTAGTGCCTACATCTCATTGAAAAGGAGATGTGCTAGAACTACCCTGGGATCCAGCTATCGCACTACTGGGTATTTACCCAAAATGTACAAAAACTCTGCGTCAAAGGGATACATGCGCCCCTATGTTTATAGAGCATTATTTACAATAGCCAAAATATAGGAGCAGCCCAACTGTCCATCGCTTGATGAATGGATGAAGAATGTGTGTATATGCGTGCACACACACACACACACACACACACACACACACACACACACTGAAATACTATTCAGCCATAAAAAAGAATGAAATCTTCCATTTGCAATGACATGGATGGAGCTAGAAAGTATAATGCTAAGTGAAATCAGTGAGAGACAAGTACTATATGATTTCACTCGTGTGTGGAATTTAAGAAGCAAAGCAAACAAGCAAAGGGGGGGGGGGGGGGGGGAGAGAGACAAACCCAGAAACAGACTCTGAACTAGAGAATAAACTGATAGTTACCAGAGGGGAGGTGGGTAGGAATGGAAGAAATAGGTGATGGGGATTAAGGAGTGCACCTGTCATGATGAGTACCAGGTGATTAAAATAAAATGTAAATAACTAAAAAGAGGGAATATTAAAAAAAAAAAGATGTGAAAATCATCAAAATAGACCTTGATCAGCCCGTGAAACCTCTCCCCTCACCCATTGTCCATTCATTGAACACTTTTTTGTTGAGAACCTTCTACTCCAGGCACTGCTGGGCACTGAAGACTCAGTGACCAGGTGATTGAGCTCCGTGCCGTGCCCTCCTGTAGATTGCTATATATATATATAGCACACATATATATATATATATGGCACACAAATACTTTATTTCTAAGACACATTCAGAATGTTGGCAAACCTCAATGAAGTCATTGAGTTTTAACTTCAGAGGAATAAGATTAGCTTCAGTGACTCAATATTTACTACTGTTTGTCAATCCTCTACCTCCCCAGAAAATTCCGCCCCCCTTCCTCCCCTTCATTCCTGATACAGATCCCAATTTCTTGGTTGGAAGGGCAACTTCTAAAATACGTTACTTTCGAAATTGTACCTCTAATCACTCTCTTCCTTTTGTCTTCCAGTCCTGGTACCTGGGATAAAAGTCGCAGCGTCCCACCATCCACCAGACAGACCACCTGACCCCTTCTCAACTCTGTAACATGGACGCATCCTCAACCCAGCGCGGTTACAACTTCACTGTCAGTGGAAGGGGAGAATCAAATCAACTTGTACATGGAAACAGCGAGCATTATGGTCAAACAGCAAAGGCCATAACCTTTTGGGATTTTTTTTTTAAATACTTTAGGGACTGTTGTAATTTTCTCATATGGTGCTGGAAATGGTTGGGCTTTGTAACACGTGGAGTGTTCCCGTGGTAGCGTGAGCATTAGGTGATGTGGCTAGCGGAGGTCTACCCTTGCTCACTGACTTCCCGTTGTAACACACTTTCCTTACGGAGCCTGGCTGTTTCACAGTATTTCATGAATTTACCCACACAGGTGTGAGCCTCCTTGAGTCATCGGGAGGCACATGGAGAACTAAATCTTTTGTAGTAGCTGAGATCTGCAATATATAACTTACGGGACAGTCAAAGGGCAATGTTTTTCTGTAACATATTGGAGAAAGAAAATGCAGTTATGTTCCTTTTTTATTTTTTCTTTTAGTTTGGTTTTGGTTCAGCAGTCAGCAGTTAAATATATAACATGGCCCACAAGGACAGTGAATCCACTCACGTTGCAGAACAATTCCGAAATGACAAACTACTACTACTATTCAGTTTTTTAAAAGTTGTGAAATGCTGCACTTACATTTAAAAAAAAAAACATTTTTTCAACAATTTCAACAATGACACACAAATTCACGTGGAAATGGGGAAGATGGTCTGTTTTGACAGAAACTGACAGGAATCAATCAAAACAATCGAATTTTGAAATGAGTAAAGTGCAATTTCATTGGATAGCTAAATATCTTTGTAAGATAGAGATTGTTGAAAATTCTATTTTTGTTTTTCAAGTCCTTCCACCCCAGGACTCTAAATTATTGGGGTAAAAAAACAGCCTTGCAAGAAAAAGGGGAGCTATTTTTGCTTTTTATGTTTTTTATTGTTAAACTTGTATCCCTTTAAAAACTGAAGGAAAATTAAAAAAAAAAAAAACAAAAAACAAATCTAATGGTGCTTTTACCACGATATGTTAACTACATTAAATGCTAATTAATTATTTTCTGTTATCAAAGCACATAACTAAAATGAAATCATGGTATCTGTTAATTTTATAATAAGCTAGAAGTCACTATAATGGATTATGCCAATTCTGAAAATTTTTACATGTATCCAGCAACATAGGATTTATCAGTTATCAGACACTTCATTGTACCAGAGATTGTCCAGAACTTTTAAAGACCTTTGCGCCCCTGAACTGGGCTATGGGAAAATAATAATAATGATGATGATGATAAAACCAATACTGACACAAATGCTGGTGCCCATTCAGATCAAGGGTACCTGTTAGGGAAAAAAAAAGTTTGCACCCCCAAATGTCCTGTATCTTATGTAAACACACACACACACGCACACACAAACACACACACACAAAAAACAACAAAAAAACATACAAAAAAAAGTGCAAGTGATTTTTCTACCAGACAGCGAAGCACCCCTTTGCTTCCCATGCAACTTCAAGAAGGTTTCCTATACTATACATATATATACGTTCTGGTTGGCAAGCCCTGCTGATCAGAGAAAGTCTCTGCATGTTCTAGTGTTAGTAACTAATTTTTATATAGTTAATGTAGGATAAAGTAGAGTGCATTAAGACACAATATTGTAATCCCTACTCTAGGCACTTGCCTTTAAACTATGTTTTTCAGCCCTTCAGAAGGGTTCTACTACTGTCCTATACAATCAAGTAACTGAAATTCTTGGGAAGACACTTTGCTCCTCATCTTTCCCCCGAAACAATGTTGTTTTGTTTTGTTTTTTTTCCTTAATTTGCACGAAAACAAAAATTCCATATCAATGTGCCTTGCCCTGGATAGCGATTATTTGTGGAATTGTTGCACATATGCTCCTCTATTGAAAGGGGTTTTTCCCTAGTCAAGCATTTGGAGACACTTTTTGTAAATGTGACTTTTATGTCAGCCATCGTCAGTTTCAACATCTAGAACTAAATAGAAAGTTAGTTGTTCCGCAGATAGGAGTAGTCTTTATTGTCCTCTGTGGTCAGTGGCAGTGCTATTCTGAGATCTGTAGATGGCTTAGAATATCAGTATTTTGGATGTTGCTGCATTTTACAATTTATTTGGAGTCTTCCTTTATTTTCCCCCCAGATATATGAAAATATGCAATACCTGCTTATATCGTGTAGAAAAGCTTAGCGATTATTAATTTTTCTTTTATTTTTTTTATTTGACCAAAGTCGGTGCTGCACTTGACGCAGTGTGTTTTAGGTGTTTGTCTTTGTACTTTTTTTGTGATTTTTGAATGCACGTGCGCAGGAAGGGCTCCTCTTAGAGAAGCAGTCAAACTGTGAAGCACTAAGCTGACCCTGCTTCAAGCAATTTTGTTTTTACAACTGTTCCTTTCACAAGCAAGCCTTAAAAAAAAAAAAAGACAACTTCCTTTTTCTTCAGCTCCCACACCCCATTTTTCTTAGCAGACCGCAGTCAATCCACATTCAATAAAAAGGATATAATGCCCATTTTTATATGCACGTTTTTAAACTTCCAAGTTCTGAAAATTGTTTACTGGTTATCTCTATTTAAGGAAAAAAAAATAAAATAAAACATTTTGGATTTTCATATGTGTCTGATAAGTGGTTGAATAGTCGTTTGACGCTCTTGTGTGGTGTGGTTGTCAGTATATGGTGTCACTTCCTATAGCCAGCCAGCATAATTCGCCTTCCCCGATAGCACTTAGCTGGGCATTACTTTCTTATGACATATGTGCACTAAAAAAAAGAAAAAAGAAAAAAAAAAAGAAAAAAAAATAGCAGCTTTCAGTGCTTCACAGTGAAGGGAAAAAAAGCCTAGACAAACATTTTGTCAGAACCTTTGCTATAAGCCAAGGTATTACCAGTAAATTGGTTGTATATACAATAAAATTGCACCCTTTTTTTAAAACAAAACAAACTAAGCAATAGTTTGGGCAGTTTTAGTTGTTTCTAGTGAGCATGTTGTAGTCATGACTGCAAAGAGAGAGGATAAACTGCCCGCTCAGAAGATATGTAATTTGTATTGTTGTATAGTTTTATTGATTACACTGATTTATTCTACCCTATTTTATAACGCAGGACTTTTGTAATGTTGTTTAAATGAGGAAACATTTCTGTCAAATTAGCCTAGTGAAATTTCTGATTGTCCATTATAAAGGCAGCGTTCATAGAATTGCTTTTCTTTCT